CAGCCCTGGAGGGAGGGGGCCCAGAAGAAACACAAGGGGGCCGGGCCGCGTGGGCCCCATGTTAGCTACGGGCCTGCGTGCATGCGCGAGCACTGAAGACGCCGTCTGGGAGCCCCCCGCCACAGAGGAAAAAGGACTTGGCAACCCTAGTGCTAGGCTTGCCAAGCCCCCCCAGGGGCCGGGGAAAACCCCGCCCGAGAGGCCCGTTACCCACCAGCGGCGGATCGGGCCCCGGGAGGAACCCCACCCCCAAAGCTTGCAACGTGCCTGGCATCAGCACGTCACCCGGAAGTTACGCAGTTGCGTTGGGCGCGTTGGGGGCAGGGCCGCAGTCATCCGAGGGAAAACTCTATGATTTCCCCTCAGATGATTGTGGCCCCGCCCCCGGCGTGCCTGACGTAATTGCGGAGCATGCGCGATTTGCGCGCGAGCATGAACTCCCGGAGCAGCGCTGGACTCCCCCGCTATACCTACGGTAAGGACTTGGCAACCCTAATGGGTGCAGTTATTCAGAGATATGGAATAAGGAGTCATCAAAACACTGACAACACCTAGCTCTATTTCTCATTTTCAATAGAGTCAGGTGAAGTGAATTTAGACAAAGAACTGGATAAGGAAAAGAAATGAAGCCCTGTCATGGAGATTTTTAGCAAGCTCCCCACCATCAACCAGGAAGTAGGTGCTTTGCCTGTTACAGATAGGGACAAACACCCTCTTAAAGATCAGATAAACTCTTCTCAGACTTTCCTTGAATCTGGCACTGCTCCAGCATATCTCAGTAGAGGCTTTCTCCCCCTCCCCAGCTTTGGCTGATTCATCAGTTCTGCTCTGTCCTTGAAAAGGATTTCACCATTGTCATACATAGCCTGGCATAGCCTGGTAACTTTGAGACTAGACTACAACGATACATTTTGTACAGGGCCATATAGGGTTGCCAGGTCTTATCATTCCTTGGGCAGGGAGATTTGTGGGGCATTCTGGGGCTGGGCGGGGACATCATGTGACATCCCTGATGCAATGACACCACCCAGAAGTGACATCATCACACTGGAACATCGTGTGGCTATGCTTGGGTATTTGGGCAAACTCTATGGTTTTGAGGGTGAGAAAACCATAGCGTTTTGCCCAAATACCAGAGTGCCCCCACGCAACATCCCCAGTTTAGGGGATGTCATCATGTCAGGGACGTCACTGTGCCAGCTGGTCTGCAGTAGAGGGAAGCCCCCGAAACCAGGGGATCCCCTGCCCAGACCTGGGGCTGGCAACCCTAGGGCCACACTGGAAGACAAGTCGGAGCATTTCATTGGTTCAGAATGTAGTTGCACAAGTACCGCCTCATCATACTGCATGGGTGCACTAGCGGTGAAAGTTGCAGATTTCCTTCTGGACTACATTCAAAGTAACCACACTGTTCCTTACTCTGTTTGGGGCTAGGATACCTTGAAGAACACCCCTATTATGAGGGTTCTTGGGTCTTTTGTCTACCTTGGATGAAGAAGCACCTTACTTCCTAGTCAATGGTGGGGAGCCTGCTAAAAATCTCCATGACAGGACTTCAGTTCTTTTCTTTATCCAGTTCTTTGCTGTCTGGGGGCACGTGTCTAAGAAAAGACTCTGGGGCCATTTCTGTTGTGGAAAGTTCTCCCGTGAAACTAGGGTTGCCAACCTCCAGGTGGTGGCTGTAGATCTCCCACTATTACAACTTATCTTGAGGCAACAGAGATCAGTTCACCTGGAGAACATGGCCACTTTGGAAGGCGGACTCTATGGCATTATACCCCATCAAAGCCCCTCCTCTCCGTAAATCCCACCCTCCTCAGGCTCCACCCTAAATCTCCAGGTATTTCCCAACCTGGAGCTGGCGACCCCACAAGAAACCCACATCAAGCTCCCTTCTGGTGGAGCAGCTGAAAACCATTGGGAGCCGCAGACAAAGAGCAATCTGGGCACCCCCTCACCATCTGGACCCAACCAACACACAACATAACAATATAACATTTATTTATTAAATATTTATATCCCACCTTTTCTCAGCTCTCAAGCTAACCTGA